GATCCTTTTTATTTCTGTGTTATCAGTTGTAATGTTTCCTCTTTCCTTTCTGATTTTTTTTAATCTTCTCTCTTTTTATCTTAGTTTCTTTCTAAATGTTTGTCAATTTTGTTAATTTTTTCCAAAAATAACTGCTTCATCTTTTCTATTGTTTTTCTGGCCTGCATTTATTTCTACTCTGATCTTTGTTATTTCTTTTATTCTGCTAACTCCGTAGTCTTGGGCTTTCTTACTCAGGACTTAAAAAAAATATGCACTCCTAATTGGATCTTTGTTACAGATGAATTGCTGTTTAATACAGTAAGTCATCTCAGAGGTCACTGTGATATCAGGAAGATGATAAAGTCAAAGGTTGTGAAATAGAAATATGTAGAAATCCCACTGCTGTGTCAAAAGCAGTTCTATGGTTTACTGCCCTTTGGGACTCTATCCTCATGCAAAGAGATCTGGTGAAAGCTGCAAGGGAAGCATCCCAGTTTAATTTCACAGAACTGACTGATAGATGAAGGTAGAAACCTCAGGGCCCCAGAGACCCAGGGGATCAAAGAGAAGTATGGACATGAACTTCGGTGTTGAGATGACTTGGGCCAATTGTAGTTTGCTTGGCTGTTAATTTCCCTGCATGAATCCTGGGAAGTGTTTCATTAAGAAGTCTATGAAGAATTCTATCTTTATCTGCCCTTCTCTCTGTCTGGAGCATTTAAAGACCTTCATCTTAATCCTATTTCAATTAATGTTCAATGAAATTGTATTTGGACTGGTTTTAGTTTACCATAACACTTTTTAGTGTTCCTTTGAAAAATCTGCTTCTGGAATAAGCTATTTGAAAAATGTGCTTCTGGAAGAGGACAAATAAAATTTTCATCTCATGGTCAGTTTACATTTCAATGTTTTAAACAAGCTATGCAGAGTACATCATGCAAAATGCTGGGCTGAATGAAGCACAAGCTGGAATCAAGATTGCCAGGAGAAATATGAATAACCTCAGATATGCAGGTGACACTACACTTATGACAAAAAGTGAAGAGGTACTAAAGAGCCTCTTGATGAAGGTGAAAGAGTAGAATGAAAAAGCTGATTTAAAACTCAGCATTCAAAAAACTAAGATCATGGCATCCATTCCCATCATTTCATGACATATAGATGGAGAAACAATGGAAACAGTGAAAGACTTTATTTTCTTGGGCTCCAGAAACACTGTGGACTGTGAAGGCAGCCATGAAATTAAAAGATGCTTGCTCCTTGGAAGAAAAGCTATGACAAACTTAGACAGTGTATTAAAAGGCAGAGATATTACTCTGCCAACAAAAGTTCATATAGTCAAAGCTATGGTTTTTCCAGTAGTCATGTATGGATTTGAGAGTTGGACCATAAAGAAGGTTGAGCACCAAAGAATTGATGCTTTCAAACTGTGGTGTTAGAAAAGACTCTTGAGAGTCCCTTGGACTTCAAGGAGATCTAACCAGTCAGTCCGAAAGGAAATCAGTCCTGAATATTCATTGGAAGGACTGATGGTGAAGCTGACACTCCAATACTTCAGCCATCTCATGAGAAGAGACAACTCATTGGAAAAGACTCTGATGATGGGAAAGACAGAACGTAGGAGGAGAAGGGAATGACATAGGGTAAAATGGTTTGATGGTCTCACTGACTCAATGGACATGAGTTTGAGCAACCTTCGGGAGATGCTGAAGGACAGGGAAGCCTGGCATGCTGCAGTCCATGGAGTTGCAAAGAGTCGAACATGACTGAGTGACTGAACAAAAACAATGTTTCTAGAAATCATGTTTTAGTATCAAATGCATCCTTAATTTTTAAGGTAAGATAATGCCAAAGATAGGGTCTGTGATTCAGGTTTTCACTAAATGCAAAATTTTCCTAGGACAGAGCAAATGCCTATATGAAGGGAAGCCATTTTAATCCTTATCTTAAGCCCCTCAATAGTGTTATTGGCCATATGAAAAAGTTTCAAAGTCAAGTAGCTGTATGTGCTCTTGGATAAATTAGTCTCTTTGAAACTTAGTTTCTTCATACATCAAAGGGTGCCCATGGTGATTGTGAGTGTACTATAGTACCTGCTCAGTTCCCCTTTCTTCTTTTTTTTATTATGACATTTTTAAAGGAACAATTTTAGGTTCACAGCAAAATTGATGGGGACAGAGACTTTCCATTTCTCTCCTGTCCCCACACTTATATAGCCTCTCCTGTTATCAGCATTTCCCACCAGAGTGGTGCATTTGTTACAGCTGATGATCTGACATTGATACGTCATCACCAGAAGTTCAAAATTTACAGTATGGTTCATTCACTCTTGATGTTGTGCATTCTGTGGGTTTGGACAAATGTATTATGGCATGTATCCATCACTATGGGATCATTCAGAGTATTTTCACTGCTCTAAATCCTCTGTGCCCCACCTGTTCTATCTTACCTCCTGCCACCCCTTGGCAACTGCTGTTTTTCTTACTGTCTGTCTCTCTAGTTGAATCCGTATGTAGCCTTTTCAGATTGGCCCCCTTCACTTAGCATTATGCATTTAGCTTCCTCCATGTCTTTTCATCTCTCAATAACTCATTTCTTTTTAGTGTTGAATAATAGTCCCTTTCTTGAGTGTAGCACCGTTTATGTATCAATTACTCTGCTGAAGACAGTTTGGTTGCTTCCAAGTTTAGCACTTATGAATAGAAATCCTATAAACATCTCTGTGCAGGTTTTTGTGTGGACATAAGCCTTCAACTTTTTGGGGGTAAATACCGAGGAGTGAAATTGCTGGACTGTATGGTAAGAGTATATTTAGTTTTGTAAGAAACTGCCAAACTACCTGACAAACTGTCGGTACCATTTTGTATTCTCACTAGCAATGAAGGAGAATTCCTATTGCTCCACATCCTCATCAGCATTTGGTGTTGTCAGTGTTATGACTTTTGGCCATTTTAAATAGATATATAGTGGTTTCTTATAGTTGTTCTAATTTGCATTTCCCTGATGACATACAATGTGGAGCATCTTTACACATACTTATGTCATCTCTGTATCTTCTTTGGTGAGGCATTTGTTAAGGTCTTTGGTCCATTTTTAAAAATCTTTTATTATGCTTATTCATGTCAATGTATGACAAAACCCACTACAATATTGTAAAGTAATTAGCCTCCAACTAATAAAAANTTTCATATTGTTGAGTTTTAAGAGTTTTTTGTATATTTTGAATTAACTCTATTTTATCAGATGTGTCTTTCAAATATTTTCTCTGAGTCTGTGGCTTGTCTTCTCATTTCCTTGACATTGTCTTGTGCAGAGAAGTTTTTAACTTTAATGAAGTCCATCTTACGATTTTTTCTTTCATGCATTATGCCTTTGGTGTTGTATCTAAAAAAGCACTACCCTACCGAAGGTAATTTAGGCTTTCTCCTATGTTATCTTCTAGGAGTTTTATAGTTTTGTGGTTTACACTTAGGTCTGTGATACATTTTCAGTTAATTTTTTAAAGGGCATAAAGGTCTGTGTCTAGATTCTTTTTTCTTTTTTTTTGCATGTGGATATCCTGCTGTTCCAGTACCACTTGTGGAAGGGACTATTTTGCTCAACTGTATTGCCTTTGCTCATCTTTTAAATATCAGCTGACTATATGGGGGACTATTTCTGGGTACTCTAGTCTATTCCACTTACCTATTTTTCTGTTTTTTTTTTCCCCCACAAGTACCGCACTGTCTTGATTACTGCAGTTTTATTGTTAGTCTTGAAGTTGGGAAGCATTGATCCTCCAATTTTGATATTCCCCTTCGGCATTGTGTTGGCTGTTCTGGGTCTTTTGCCTTTCCTTATAAATTTTAGAAATCAATTTGTCAGTTTTCACAAAATGACTTGATGGAGTTTTGGTTGGGACTGCACTGATTCTACAGATCAGTTTGGGAAGAACTGACATCCTTACTATTAAGTATTCCTATCCATGAACATGGAATATATCTCCATTTGTTTAGCTCTTTGATTTAATTCATTAGAGTTTTGCAGTTTTCCTTATACATAGCTTATACATATTTTGTTAGATTTATACCTAAGTACTTCATTTGGGGAGGTGCTAAATATAAATAGATTTGTGCTTTTAATTTAAATTCCATTTCTTCATTGTGGTAGATAGGAAAGTGACTGACTTTTTGTGCGTTAACCTTGTTATTATCACTTATCAGTGGATCTTTAGACACATGTTTGCTTTACTGGGGGCTCACTTAGACATGAAAAGCCCTAGTTGACTGTTCATCTTCCAAGGACACTCATGAACACTCATTCATTTCTTTGATCTCAGATCTCTGACATTAATGGCCTACAAACCATTTGTTGGTTTGGCAATGAGCTAAAGCAACTGTTTTCAAACTAGGCTTGATAGAGTTCTAAAGCTTCATGTCTTTGTGTCTTTGCAAAGACCACTGTGAGGGAACAGGGCTCTGAACTTTCTATATCATTTTTGCTAGAGCAACTCAGTTTTTCTTTATATTTTTAATTTTGAAATTACTTTAGATTTAAAGAAGATTTAGCCAATTTCCCTACTAATATGTTCCAGAACTATGGTACATGATGAAAACTAAAAAAAATTAAATGACTCTTAACTATTAACTAGATATGATTTAACAAAATTACAGACTTTATTTGGATTTCTCTGCTCTTTCCACAGATGCATTGTTTTGAGCAGTTCAGTTTCTATCTGTTTTGCCAACTGGATTTCATGTGAGATTTTATTTAGATAAAGGTCTGCTAGCTGCTTCTTGTTCCAGATTTTCCCTACCTCCACCTTCTAAGTTCTCAGTTACTGCTATTTAGCAATGGAGGACAATTACAATAGTAGCTTCTCATCACTTCATCCCATCTAAGGAATGCACCTAATCCTTACTGAACTCTCCAGAATATTTATGAGGTCAAGGAGAATTTTAAAATATATTTTAAAATTTTGTTTTACAGATGGAGAAATTGAGGCAAGAGGGTGAGTAACTTGTAGGTAAGAGTCAAACTGAAGACGTCTCCTGATTGCTGACTGACATTCTTATTTTCTCCGCAAAGGCCTTCAGATGAGCAAAACATACCTGAGAGAGAAAAGCTGATCAGCCTCCGACTTCCTTGCCCTTGCACGGTCTCATCAGAACCAATGCTTTTAAAAATCTGTAAGAAGGAAAATGGGAGACAAGCAAAAGAAGCATTGAAATAGATACACTCCAATACAAGCATGCTTAATCAGTCATTTCTGTAACTACAGAATACAAACACAAAAGTACAATGATTTCATTAGGCTACTATCGATTAGCATAAGCTTTTAGCAACCTAATGTCTTTTCCAGTAATAGAATGGGAAATGCTAGTGAGGATGAGGGGGTACTTCTCAAAGAAACGGAAATCAGCAAACAGAATTAGTGTAATATCAGAGGTCCTTTATAACTACCTATGTAAACAATGCCTTTTCATATTCAAATTTGCAAAAAGGTATTTATTAAAGCAGATCCTAAGGCAGTAAAATTGAGAGGTCAATAGATGTTTACTGTTGTAATTACAAAGTGTTTATATTAGCAAAGTATAGTTAAAACTGCCCTATCTCCATTTCTTCTGATCTGTACTACTATCTAGAGATTCCCAGGAAATTTTATTTGGGAGGAGCATGAGCATGACATTAAGAAGCTACTCTGAGGTCTCTTTATTTGACTGCCTTCCTGGGAAGTTTCAGAACACAGCTGTTACATGGGTATATCTTCACCTAGTGAGAGTGAAAGTCACTCAGTTGTGTCCGACTCTTTGCGACCCCATGGACTATACAGTCCATGGAATTCTCCAGGCCAGAATATCGGAGTGGGTAGCCTTTCCCTTCTCCAGGGGATCTTCCCAACCCAGGGATCGAACCCAGGTCTCCCACATTGCAGGCAGATTCTTTACCAGCTGAGCCACAAGAGAAGCCCATCTTCATCAAGTAGATATTTGCAAATCAGGTTGCTAAAATGTTTTATTTTCCATCATTGCTCAACATTGATCTGTTAATGGATTAATCAAAGCAGCTAGAGTTCTTGTTTCCATTCTCTTCTAGGCAAGTTTTACCCTGAAATGATTCTGAGTATATATTCAAAGGCAGAGTTACCTTTGCATATGTTACATATTTGGAGAAAATAATACAAAAAAAATCTGAATATAAAGCAAATCTCTACCAGGTCCACTTTTTAGAAGATAAGCTACACCAAAGAAGGGAAAAACAGAAAACTCAGTGACCTCTCACTCAAAGTCTCTTTGTTTCTAGGTTGTGTGGCTTAATCTCTCTCTGCCTGTCAGTATTCTTGGCGCTGAAAGAGCTGTGATTGGATGTGACCATCAATTTGCTTTATTTGAGACTAAGAGTAATGACTGGGCATCACCAAGGCTCATAATTTCGGCCCAAGGAGAGTCCAAAATGATTATTAGAACACTTCTTTGTTAGGCAGGTGCCCCTGGCGGACTTCTATGATGGGCTGCAGCTCATGTGCCAATCTTCTCAGTATGTCTGCTGTTAGGTCCATGTACAAGATGCATCTCAGGGATACTGGGCTGCCCAGCAGATGGAACCAATGTGGGTGATGTACGGAATGGGGTGAGTTGGGATACTGCTTGGTCTGAGGTATCAGCCCTCTTCACACTGGACATCTTTCTCTTCACCGGGCTGACCCAGAGCCTCAGAGGTCAGCAAACACAGCAGATTGCAACCTCAGGCTGGACCACTCTTCTAGCTCTCAAAGTAGCCGGTATGAATGGGTTTAATCAGGATTCAAAATTTCTTCACGTTGAAGACTTTTCTTCATTTTCAAACCTACATGGCAAGGGCCATGGGTGAAGTGGGCAGGCTGGCCACACCCCCCTCTGGTGCTGTACTTGTCTAGGTGGGACAATTACAACTGACTGCTCCTAATTCTAGTTTAAAGATGTCAACATCTAACTTGTTTCATCTCAGAATATAAATTCCTTGAGAGCACAACAGAAACTCTACTTTTAATAGAGCCTTGTAGATACAAGTCTAGAGTGTATGCATTCCAATTTATATTATTTACAAGATGTAGGATTAAGCTGCACATGTCTTCCTAGGCTAAATGAGCTTAAACATGCAATGATAACAAAGAATAGTATTCATTATTTCTTACTTACAGCATACATATTTTGATCCTCATATTTAAAGATTTTTCTGTTGGGTATTCAGGGTATTTACAAAAAGGTTCTTCATGTATATTGCATTGAAACAGGTATGCAGACAAAAAGATAATGTATATTTTTCAGAAGCTACTGAGCTCAGGAGGGAGATACACAGTTTAAATTCCACAAAATTCTCCCTAACTCTTGGCTTTTTGCTAACATTATTTATCAAGTCATCTCAGTGCCAGACTGATGATACAAGAGAGAGGCAGTAGTAGATGTGATAAACATTTCCCAGGATAAACGGTGTTTGGGAAAGTTGTACGTTCCAACTTTTTGTTCAAGATGAGCTCCAGAGGCTTGTCTGAAGTTAAGAAATCTATTGTACTCACAAAGAGACACTCTACCATTTACTGACTATGAAAATGGTATGGAAACCCAGCCAAAACAGTCTCACCCTACAACAACCTGAGACAGAGGGCTGAGACAGACAAGAATTGCTTTTCTTGTCTGGTCTACACATACCCTTGGCTTTTCAGTCTGTCTGATCCCCATCTGTTATTCCACCCACCAGGCACATGGCTGTGATGCTGCCTCTCAGACACAGTGCACGGTATCAGGGTTTATTTTGTACAGAAATTATCTCTGTACCTCCCAGCAGAAAATGCACGCTCAGCAGGGCTGCTAGCACACACAGTGGCCAGGCACTGAGACTTGGGAGGAGGGACCCCGGAAAGGACTCAGTCTAGGGGCACAGAGACAGCCTGGAGCGTGGTCCAGGATGCCACACTGGATACATGATAGAGTTCGCTTGATACATGATGGGAGTCCAGTGTTTTCAGCATGGTGCCGGGTGGGGCCAGGTGGGGCCCAAGTCAACAGATTAAGACTCACTGTTACCTTGTGTCACAGCAAACTGTGAATCCAGCTTTACGGGAGGACTGATGATAGACTCAGTGTTCCTGGTGGGCTGCCCCTGGGGAGGAGTATGCAGTTCCTCCTGATAACACTTCTCACATGGCAGCTTGGAGCCACATCTGGAGTGAACAAGGCTGGGGAGAGCCCTACCAAAGAGGCAGAGGAGGTCCCAGGAAGCAGCGGAACCACCTTGATTCCTGCAGTCACAGTGCTCTGGCCTCCACCACCAGCCTAGCACTAGGGTCTGTGATGAACACAACAGAAAAAGGTATATGACCCTGGGTTACTTATGGGCAAAACTGTGGACGCCTGCACAGCCAGTGCATAGGTTCACTGTGACCACAGAGCCGTGTGGGTTCAGTGTTCAGCCCCTTGGGGAATGAGGACACAAAAGAAATGGAACCTATGAAACCCAACCCATAGGGCTTCCACTCCAACAGCTGGGGAGAGGCCCTTGCCCCCTGACAAGGCTGTGACAGCCATGGAGCAAAGAGGAGGCCCTGCCCAACATCCAGTGCAGGCTCTGGACACCAGACCAGCCATACCTACTACAACGGCCAGCAAACTGAGAAGATAGCCTTTGCACCAAAAATACTGGACTCGCACAATCTACATAAGGATGCTCCCACATAAAAAGAGCCCTTCAAGACCATAATAGATAACTTTCTCCTAAATTCACAGAGACAGAGAAATTTTAAAACTCCCAATTAAAAGAATAAGAAAAATCCCCTGAAAGAACAAAAAAATGAAATACCTCTTCAGGCTACCAGACCCCAAGTTCAAAAAGGAAGTAATAAAAATGCTGAAAGTGAAAGAAAGTGAAGTCGCTCAGTCGTGTCCGACTCTTTGTGACCCCATGGACTGCAGCCTACTAGGCTCCTCCATCCATGGGATTTTCCAGGCAAAAGTACTGGAGTGGGGTGCCATTTCCTTCTCCAGGGGATCTTCCCGGCCCAGGGATACAACCTGGGTCTCCTGCATTGCAGACAGATGCTTTTACCATCTGAGCCACCAGGGAAGCCCCTAAAGTGCTGAAGGAATTAATAAACATTATTACCGGCAGATCACTGTAACCATGAAACAGAAACCGTAAAGAGGAAACAACCAACATTAGATAACTCAACTGCCAAGGTAAAAACTGATCTAAAAGCAATGAGTAGTTTGCTAAATAATGCAGAATAATGAACAGGAAGACAGAATAATGGACATCACCCAATCAGAAGAGCAGACAGAAAGACACACCAAAAAACAAAAGCGACAAGCAAGATCTATGGGATAATATGAAGTGTGCCAACCTACACATAATAGGGCTTCCAGAAGGAGAAGAAAGAGAGAAGGGAATAGAAAATGTATTTGAGGAAATTATGGCTGAAAACTTCCCAAACCTAAAGAAGGAAACAGATACCCAGGTACAGGAACCTAAAAAACCCACACAAAGTCATATCATAATTAAAAAGACAAAAGTTAAATATGAAGAGAGGAGTCTAAGGACACCAAGAAGAAAAACAAAGAATATCATACTTAGTGAAGTAAGTCAGGCAGAGAATGACAAATATTATATGATATCATTTATATGTGAAAAATAAAAAACACAAAGTTATATATATTCAAAACAGAAACAGACTCACAGACACAGAAAATTTATGGTTAAAAAAGGATAAAGAGAGGGAGGAAAGGAATGAATTAGGAGTAAAGATTAACAGATAGAAATTATTATACATAAAATACATAAGCAACAAGGATTTATTATTTAGGTCAGAGAACTACATTCAATATCTTATAATAACCTACAATGGAAAATAATCTGAAAAAATAACTGAGTCACTTTGTTGTATACCTGAAACTTACATAATATTGTAAATTAAATATACTTCAATAAAAGAAATTAGTTTATATCTACATAGATGAACATTGTTCATTACTAGAGTGAGATAATTTATCCATTTTTTTTCCTTGTTACATAAGTGTTTAAGAGAACTGTTTATACAGTAGGTGCAATTATAGTAACATCTTTTATTTACTTTAATCCTTTACAAGCTACATATAAGACAAAAACATAGTAATCAATCAATACAAATTAATTAAAATTGCCTCTCCATGCACAAC